GTGTGTGTGTGTGTGTGTGTGTGTGTGTGTGTGTGGGATCATTCTGTAGTTTCTGTGTTCACAACAACTTGTAATTGTTCTTAAGTTTTCTCAACATAGATGTTTTCAGACCTGAACTGTGTAACATGTTGTCGTGACATGTTGTGTAGTCAGTGTTTGTCCTGTGAAGCAGCAGATTGTCCGGTTCAGACTCGTTCACAACAACAGGAACATGTGAACCACTTTAACTTTTGTGGATGCTCTTATAATTAATTAATTAAATCATTAATAATATTTCATATGAACTATTTCTATTTTCAGGGCTCAAATTAAATGGTCAGGTGTTGTCATCATGTGGCTGAATGAAAAACATCACAGGCTGTTTCAGAGTTCGGTTTAGTTAAAATATTATTTCTGTAGTTTTGTGTTGCTGTTATTTATTTTAGTTATATTGATTGAAGGTTGCGTTGAGCAGCACCGGGAGAGATGAGAGGTTTGGATCAATACTAACAAATAAAACTGAGTTTAACTGTTTAAAAGCAGCTCAGAGTCAGTTCTGTCTGTAGTCTGGATCTCAGAACCAAGCTGCTCTGACGACCCCTCGCTTCAGTTCCAGACTTAAAATGATCCGTGACGTCAGACGTTTCCTGCAGGTGCAGTTTTCAGCCCTGCCAGAAGAGGGAGCTGCAGATCAGGTCAGAGCAGATGAAGATGGGCTCGATGCTTTGTATTCCCCCTCGTGTGTGTGTGTGTGTGTGTGTGTGTGACTGTATTTCCTCCTGACAGTTGAAGCAGTCGGTGGTGAAATTGATGCTGAGGTCCAGACAGAGGAAGTAGAAACTCTATCAAAGTCACACACACACTAGTGTAGCCTGTTGTTGGGAGTCTTGAGATACACACACAACCTCACAGGTACACACACATGAACACACAGGTACACACATGAACACACAGGTACACACACATGAACACACAGGTACACACATGAACACACAGGTACACACACATGAACACACAGGTACACACACGACCTCACCACATCATGACCTTGTTTCTTCTTCTCTCTCCCAGCAGTTGTAGTTGAACACACATTGTCACTCTGCACTTCATCGACAATACACTCCACAGTGTGTGTGTCTGTGTCTCACACACACACACACACACACACACACACACACACTTATCCTTAAACACTTGTGTGCATATTCACGTACACACACGCTCGGATGTCAACACACACTTCTTTGTTGTCCTTTCGTTCTTCTTCTCTGTATTTGCTCACTCTCTTGACTGCAGGAGTCAAGTTTGTCTCACACACAC